ATGCGTGTACAAGCATATATATATGTATATATACACATCCCTCTGGGTTTTCTTCTATTTTCTTTCTAGTTCTTGTTCTTGTTTATTTCCTCTTACCTCCATGGGGAAGTGGAACAGAATTCTTCCTCCGTAAGCCATGCGTGTTGCAAGAGGCGACTAAAATGCCGGGAGCAAGGGGCTAGTAACCCCTTCTCCCGTATAAATTACTAAATTTAAAAAGAGAAACTTTCGTTTTTCTTTTTGGGCTACCCTGCCTTGGTGGGATACGGCCGGTTTGTTGAAAAAAAAAAAAAGTAACAGTTACTCTGGAATACCTAATTATATTGAATTGATGGGGACTCAGCCTAAATGTCGTAAGGGCAGATCACCCTTATGGCTGTAAGGCAGCTGAGTCAAGCCTGTTTTTCTCAATACAACAGGTTATACTATAGACACATAAACACACAATTTAAATAAGTAGTTTATAAAGTTGCATTTCTTTTGTAAACATAAAATAAGCGTGGTAGAGTTGTGGTAACTACAGAATTGTGTTGGCAACAGTCTTTTGTTGTTTGGTGGGTGTGGAAGGAGCTTAGCTAGGCCCCTCCCTCTCCCTCACTCTTTTTGTTGACTTCAAGCTGGTAGGACCTCTGGGTCCTTCTTCCTATTTTTTGGGCGTTATGTGTGCCCCAGGGGTGAGTTTTATAACTTAAGTTGTGGCCACCATACCCAGGGTGACTAAAGTGTGTCAAAACACTGGTTAGTCCAGAGATTAGTCCAGAAGAAAGAAGGGCAATTTGTCCAGATCCACAATGTGGGCTGTCTTAGAAGAGCAGCTAAGGGGTGTGCAAGCTTATGTTTTGAATATGTGAGTGTTGTAATTGTATATTCTGTACATATCTATTTAGAATACAGTTATATTTTTTATAGTAGTTTAAATAACCTGTGAAGAGGGCTGGTGAAAGGATTTCAGAGACTTAGGATGACCAATCATGAATGTAAGTATTACCCTAGACATATAAGGCCTTTATGTAAAAGGTACCCCACACTAGAACATGTAGTGAGAACCTTACTATCAAAGTAATAGGGGACAACAACATAACACTGGTTAAATGAATATAGTGCTGGAAAATATACTTAAGAACGGTTAAAAATGAATGAAACAAAAATTAATCCCTGAGATGGTAGCAGGGCATATATGGCCAGAGGAAGATTTCTAATGCTATGAATTAATTTTGTCATTTTTTCCCATAAAGTACAGTAATCAAGGACAGTCTGCATCTTGGTATGTGCCAACTTTTAAAAATCACAAGATAACAGGTATATACTGTATAATCATGGGAAAGGTTGAGAAACCACAGGCTATAAAATACACATTAAATATCCTACTTATATATTACAAGTTTTATAATTCCTGGTTTATAATGGATATTTTTTAGTGCAGTTTCACAATAAATTTTGTAAGGAGGTAATGTAGTACAGTATTAAATAAGTTCAGAAAAAAATTAGAGTTTTAACTATTTAGTACAGTGGACCCCCGGTTAACGATTTTAATCCGTGCAAGAGGGCTCATCGTTATGCGAAATAATCGTTATGCGAATGAATTTTCCCCATAAGAAATAATGGAAATCAAATTAATCCGTGCAAGACGCCCAAAAGTATGAAAAAAAATTTTTTTTACCACATGAAATGTTAATTTTAATACACACAAACTGAAAAAGGCATGCACAATTAAATGACACTTACTTTTATTGAAGATCTGGTGATGATTGATGGGATGGGAGGAGGGGAGAGCATTATCTTCTTACTGTTTAGAAGGGGAATCCCCTTCCATTACGACTTGAGGTAGCAAGTCCTTTTCCGGGGTTACTTCCCTTCTTCTTTTAATGCCACTAGGACCAGCTTGAGAGTCACTGGACCTCTGTCGCACAACAAATCTGTCCATAGAGCTCTGTACCTCCCGTTCCTTTACGATTTGTCTAAAATGGGCCACAACATTGTCATTGAAATAGTCACCAGCACGGCTTGCAACAGCTGTGTCAGGGTGATTTTCATCTATAAAGGTTTGCAGTTCAACCCACTGTGCACACATTTCCTTAATCTTTGAAGTAGGCACAATGGATTCCACAACTGGCATAGGCTTCTCAGGGTTAGCCCCAAACCCTTCAAAATCTTTCTTAATTTCCATACTAATTCTCACCCTTTTTACCACAGGGTTGGCACTAGAAGCTTTCTTGGGGCCATGGTCACTTATTTTCCAGAAACAGCACCGAAAATACTGTAATAATACGAAATATTCCGAGTGTATGCTTGGATGTTACCGCGGAGGCTGGCTGGTAAACAATGGGACGGAGCGGCACATGTGAGGCTGGCTGAGGGCACATTGGACGCGTCTCGGACGAAAATCGGTATGCGGGTTTTTAATCGGTATGCGGGGCAAAAATTTTGCGATAAAAGTAAGCGTTATGCGGAAAAATCGCTATGCGATGCCATCGTTATGCGGGGGTCCACTGTACAGTGGAACCTTGGCTTACGAATTTAATCCATTCTGCGACCTTGCTTGTATCATGATTTGCTCGTGTGCTGAGTCAATTTTCCACATTTAAATAAACTGAAATGCCATTCATCCATTCCAGGGGAATTCCTGCTCTCAGGAGGCAAGGAAAAATATCAAATATGACATAATAAACAACATTAATAACATAGAAACACGATATATACTCTAGAATGAATAAAATAGGCCATAATATGGCGAGTGGCGGTGCCGGTGGCAGGGGCGGCAGCATCCACCATTTACTCTCCCAATAAGATAAGATAAGATAAGATTTCGTTCGGATTTTTAACCCCGGAGGGTTAGCCACCCAGGATAACCCAAGAAAGTCAGTGCGTCATCGAGGACTGTCTAACTTATTTCCATTGGGGTCCTTAATCTTGTCCCCCAGGATGCGACCCACACTAGTCGACTAACACCCAGGTACCTATTTGCTGCTAGGTGAACAGGACAATAGGTGTAAGGAAACGTGTCAGAATTTCCACCCGCCGGGAATCGAACCCGGGCCCTCCGTGTGTGAAGCGGGAGCTTTAGCCACCAGACCACCGGGCCACCAATCTGACTATAGTATCTTCCCATGATCTTATGATAAGAGAAAACGGAGTGTTTGTGAGGCTAACTGTACTAGATCACAGTTTCATAAAACTCTGAAACAATGTATGTAATTTTTATTTTTTGTTCACTTCACTTTTCACTGATTTACTTGCTACATTCTTAATTAGTATTGCACATATCATAGAAGTGTTACGCTAGTACTGCCTGGCTGAGTCCATAACCGCACACCTAGCTTGTGTTTAACTATGATTAGTGGTGAGGTTGTCACATATGTAACCACAGGTGTGGTCCAATCAAATGTATACATATATAGGTGAAGACGTGATCACTGTGGTCACAGTTGTGGTGATGGTGGCCACAGTGGTGGTGGTGGTGGCAGCCATCTGCCTCACTCTCTGCCGCTGCCTTCTTTGTTTCTCTAGCTTTTTTCATAGTTGCTAATCGCTTTCTGAGCTTCATGCTGATCGTAAGCAAATACTTTCTCTCCGGGTGAGGCATTGTGTAAGAAATTTGTACAACGTAAGACAAAATTATGCGTCCCAAGCATTTGCTGCGATCACTCAGAGCAGTACACCTTCTCCTTTTGACCCTTGGTCAGCACTGAGATGGCTGTGGTCATAGCAGCTGTAATTATTATGTACTTATTATTATAATAATAATAATTATTATTAAACTAGGGAACTGGAGCACAGATCCAATTCCTTAGATCAAGAGCCCCTCACCAAAATTATGCATCCCAAGGGTCTGCTGCGGTCACTCAGAGCGGCACACCTCCTCCTTTTGACTCTTGATCAGCACTGAGATGGCCGTGGTCATAGCAGCTGTAATTATTATTATTATTATTATTATTATTATTATTAGTAGTAGTAGTAGTAGTAGTAGTAGTAGTAGTATATGTATGTATTTATTTTTTTTTTTTCAACAAGTCGGCCGTCTCCCACCGAGGCAGGGTGACCCAAAAAGAAAGAAAATCCCCAAAAAGAAAATACTTTCATCATCATTCAACACTTTCACCTCACTCAAACATAATCAATGTTTTTGCAGAGGTGCCCAGAATACAACAGTTTAGAAGTATATACGTATAAAAATACACAATACAGTGGACCCCCGGTTAACGATATTTTTTCACTCCAGAAGTATGTTCAGGTGCCAGTACTGACCGAATTTGTTCCCATAAGAAATATTGTGAAGTAGATTGGTCCATTTCAGACCCCCAAACATACACGTACAAATGCACTTACATAAATACACTTACATAATTGGTCGCATTCGGAGGTAATCGTTATGTGGGGGTCCACTGTACATGTATATCCCCCCAAACTGCCAATAATTATTATTATTATTAAACTAGGGAACTGGAGCACAGATACAATTCCTTAGATCAAGAGCCCCTCACCACGTATGTACTACTACTACTACTACTACTAATAATAATAATTATTATAACAATAATAATAATAATACAATACAATATAACAGTACGGAGAAATTCAGAAGGCTGCCAGTAGTTGGCGCCACAATCAGCAAAACATTGGTAACCACTACTACTTTTCACCTGTCTAGACCTACGTAGTCTATAAGTATTAGGTTAAGTCTGCCCGAAATGCCTCGGCATGATAGTGGCTTTCTTTGCTCCAGTCATATTATGATGTGTAAACACACACTGTAACCTTTGCAAAGAAATAAATATTTTATTTATTTATTTAAGGAACCCCCCTTGAGGGGAAAGTTCGCATCCTGAAATTTCGTTCGTATCCAGAAGCAAAAAATTGACCGAGCAACTGTTCGTATCCTGAAAAAGTCGCATGGTGGGGCATTTGTAAGCTGAGGTTCCACTGTTATATACATTACAGATACACTTATGAATTACGATTCCATATTATTATTCTCCAGATTAGAAAGTACAGTAGCTAACCACATTCTTAGAAGTACTGAGGTCATGTGTAAGGGTATCATCATTGTGGTCAGCATGTGGACCAGGAGCCTCAGCTGGAAAGCCTGTCTGGACCCAGTGGATAGAGTTGGCATTGTTCTCGAACCACCCACACATATCCTCTTCAAAATCACAGGTCTTACCTGAAAAAATATGTTAGGCTTGTCTTGTCATAAAATAATAATAAAAAAGCTGTGTAATACAGTAACTATTTCAAAATACATACTTTTAAGCAAAGCAATTTATGTTCCATTGGGTTGCCTAAAGAACAAAATTGATCTTATTTCTTTTTGGCTATTTAGCTTCAAGAAAAAGGATAATCAGCCCCTTTGTTCTTTGTACTTTAACTCATTTATGACAATCATGGCTTAAGAGGAAAGAATTCTACACTACATTAACTTATATTAAAATGACAAAAAACAGCCATATATTTTCATTAATGTATACACTATCTTCAGCTTTTTTCAACCACTGAACAGCATGTTAAGTAGCGTATCTTGATAACCTTGTGATCAACAGATGGAGGACTGAACCCTCAGTGACCACAATGGTTTTGCACCTCACATAAACAAAATAAAAAAAGAGGTTCAACTTTCTTATTATAACAAGATTCACCCAAGACTTACTGCAATCTTGCTCATCAGTGCCATCCCCACAGTCATCCACAAAGTTACAAGTGACGATGGGGTTGTAACAGTTTCCATTTGCACAGTCCAGTTGTCCTGATGGGCAGTTTGGTTTAGGTGTGGTAAGGTCATTATCTCCAGGAAGATGCTGATCAGAAGCAATCTCACAATAAGGAGTCATAGATAGATCATCCAAGAGTAAGAAACCATTCCGGTCCAGTGGAGATACGCCCTCCAACACAAACTAATTAGAAAAGAAAAACAAATATATGTATTTCATAGAAAAATATACTGTACATGTAATGGGTTAAAATATAGGAAAGCCTAAAGAATAAAAGTGACATTCTAAACTGTCGTATCTGAGTGCCTCTGCAATACATGGAGTATACCTGGAGAGGGTTTTGGGGGTCAATGCCCCTGCAGCTCGGTCTGTGACCAGGCCTCACGGTGAATCAAAGCCTGATCAACCAGGCTGTTACTGCTGGCTGCACGTAAAATGATGTACGAACCACAGCCCAACTGGTCAGGCACTGACTGTAGGTGCCTGCCCACCACCTTCTTGAAGACAGCCAGGGGTCTATTGGTAATCCTCGTTATATATGATTATGTGTAAATGATGGTGAAAGTGTTTCTTTCTTATTTGGGTCACCCTGCCTTGGTGGGAGATGGCCAACATGTTGAAAAAAAAAAATTGTACCTTCAGAGTGGTGCCTTGCTTTCAAAGCAGCAATGAATGGATATCAATTTGTTAGGAAACATTAAGAGAAGAATAACAAAATTAATCCATTCCATAAGAAATCTTCCATACAAAGAAAGCTTGAAATGAGGGGAGACATGGTTGAAGTGTATAAGTGGAAGATGGGTATAAACAAAGGAGATATAAATAAGGTCCTGAGGATATCCCTCCAAGAAAGGACTCGAAATAATGGATTTAAACTGAATAAATTTAGATTTAGAAAGGATACAGGAAAGTATTGGTTTGGAAATGGAGTAGCTGATGAGTGGAATAAACTGCCTAGTAGTGTTATTGAAGCTAAAACCTTGGGTAGCTTCAAACTACATGGGTAAGAGGGGTTGGATTTGAATGGGTCTGGGATTGAGAAAGACTTGCCTGGTAAAAGACTGGGCCACTAGGCCTGCTGCAGTGTTCCTCCTTTCTTATGTTGGTGGGAATGGGTGGTTTTGATAGACATGCCTTGTATGGAACAGTAGGCCTGCTGCAGTGTTCCTTCATTCTAATGTTAAAGCAAACTGCCAGGTAAAACCAATGCCCTTCAAGGAGAAAAATACCTTACTGATGGTCAAGGGCTCTGAATATGAGAAACTGGAACTCTCCTCCTCTTCCTTGGATCAAGTCTGAATTCCCCCCACCCACACACACAAACACACTGTATTTTTCTTTCCCACTTTCTCCAGAATTTTGATGACTTAAAGACTTTTGAGATAAACTGCATTTTAGACTGTAGTGTGAATTCAGCATGTGAGACTTTCCCCACTTCATCTCAATGACTGCTGTTTTTTCTATTATTCTTACCACTGCTTTTCTTTATGTGATGTTGCTTAGTTGCATTATCTGTACTTATTATTGTATGATTATTGCCTTTATATCAGGCCAATGGTTATGCAGCATCACACTGTTACTCTATTATAAACTCTGTTAGAAACATCTGCCAATCCATGAAATATTACTGCTTGAACCATTAATTGTAATATTGTTTTTATTATGTGCAACTTCAAGATTATTATTCTTATATACCTCCACCTTGACTACCTTGCATTAGTATTAAGATTAAATAAAGATTTTAATAAAATTTAACCACATATCTTGTCTATATTTAAGTAGTTATTATGTACTAGGATTAGTCTCCCCGAAATGCCCCGGCATGACAGTGGCTTTCTTTGTACTTAGCAAACCAAAATTGTAATTACACATTGTAACCTCTACAAAGAAATAAAATCTTTAATCTTTTTATTCTTTATTTCTCTGTTGTACTGTACCACTAATGCTTTGTTGAACCACCATTGTTTTGCTGTACCACCATGCTTTGTTGTATCACCAATGCTTTACTGTTCTACCATTGCTTTGCTGTATTACCATTGCATTGTTGTGACACTCTTAAGAGTCACTGAAGACAAATCTAACTTTTATTACTCTCACTGAAACTTGGCTTAACCACAACTTTACAGACATATACAATTTACCGGGGTACACAGCCATACACAATTGTAAACTAGATCAAAGGGGTGGGGGAACAACAATCTACAACAATAATGAAATGAAATGTACTCATTCAACCTGCATCAGAAATGAGCTCCGAGAATACAGTCGTAAAATTTACAACTAAATATTTGAAGACCACCCTTACAATTGAAGCTGTCTACGGGTCATCATAAACCAACATAACAATGTTGGAGAAAACCAAAAGGCCCTAATCATTAGTAAAAAAAACTAAATAAACATCACTTAATACTTGCCAGGGATTTCAACAACCTCATTCAATCTGAAGACTCCCAAAGTGGTAGACTTCTTGAATAATATGTACAATTGCTTACTAATACCCACAATAACCAAGCTTACTAGAATAAGTCTATAGAACAAAAGTTAGAGATAAGATAGGTCCCTTTAAAAATAACTATGGGCACCTTACTGACAAAGAGAATGAAATGTGCTCGATTTTAAATAATTATTTTCTCTCAGTTTTTACACAGGAAGACACTGACAATATTCCAGTAATTAATTTTTATAGTGGGCTAGAAGAAGATAAATTATGTAACATCACAGTCACTAGTGAAATGGTTGTGAAGCAGATAGACAGATTGAAGCAAAATAAGTCGCCGGGTCCTGATGAGGTTTTTTCAAGGGTTCTTAAGGAATGCAAAATGGAACTCTGTGAACCATTAACTAATATTTTTAATTTATCTCTTCAAACAGGTGTAGTGTCTGATATGTGGAAGATGGCTAATGTAATTCCTATTTTTAAAACAGGGGACAAGTCGTTACCGTCAAATTACCGCCCAATAAGCCTGACCTCAATTGTAGGCAAATTACTAGAGTCAATTATAGCTGAGATTATAAGAAGCCATCTCGACAAGCATAGCTTGATTAATGATACTCAGCATGGATTCACAAGAGGCCGGTCTTGTCTAACTAATTTATTAACTTTCTTCAGTAAAGCTTTTGAGGCTGTTGACAACAATAAAGAATTTGATATTATTTACTTAGATTTTAGTAAGGCTTTTGATAGAGTTCCGCACCATAGACTGTTAAAGAAAGTGGCAGCTCATGGCATTGGGGGAAAAGTGCTCTCGTGGATCGAGTCATGGCTCACTGACAGGAAGCAGAGAGTGTCCATATATGGGGTTAAATCCGAGTGGGGATCTGTAACAAGTGGCGTTCCACAGGGATCAGTCTTGGGCCCGTTGTTGTTTATAATATATATCAATGATCTTGATGAGGGAATTACTAGTGATATGAGCAAATTCACCGATGACACAAAGATAGGTAGGATAATTTATTCAAATGTAGATGTTATGGAACTTCAGGAGGATTTAAACAAAGTCTATTCTTGGTCAGAAAAGTGGCAGATGCAGTTCAATGTAGATAAATGCAAGGTTCTGAAGCTTGGGAGTGCCCATAACCCTAGTACTTATAAGTTAAATGATGTAGAACTTAGCCATACAGATTGCAAAAAGGACTTGGGGGTTATGGTGAGCAGCAATCTTAAACCAAGACAGCAATGCCTAAGCGTACGTAATAAGGCAAATAGATTACTGGGATTTATATCAAGAAGTGTAAGCAACAGAAGTCCAGAGGTCATACTGCAGCTTTATACATCATTAGTAAGGCCTCACCTAGATTATGCAGCTCAGTTCTGGTCTCCATATTACAGAATGGACATAAATTCGTTAGAAAACATTCAGCGTAGGATGACTAAATTAATACATAGCATTAGAAATCTTCCTTATGAAGAAAGATTGAAGACTCTTAAGTTACATTCACTTGTTAGACGAAGAATGGGGGGAGACCTGATCGAAGTGTATAAGTGGAAGATAGGTATTAATAAAGGGGATATTAATAAGGTCTTGAGGATGTCTCTCCAAGAGAGAACCCGCAGTAATGGATTTAAATTAGATAAGTTTAGATTTAGAAAGGACATAGGAAAGTATTGGTTTGGAAATAGGGTAGTTGATGAGTGGAACAGTCTACCTAGTTGGGTTATTGAGGCTGGGACTTTGGGTAGTTTCAAATTTAGGTTGGATAAGTACATGAGTGGGAGGGGTTGGATTTGAGTGGGACTTTCACATCAGAGCTTATTTCTTGGGTGGCATTGAAAATTGGGTTGGGCAAATGTTCTGTTAGTGGGATGAATTGTAAAGGACCTGCCTAGTATGGGCCAACAGGCCTCCTGCAGTGTTCCTCCTTTCTTATGTTCTTATGTTAAGTGAGTCTACCCCAACATCACTTAACCACATATAGACAAATATTCCAGTCCCTTAAACAGTAGGCATCATCACAGATAATACTACTGACCACTACCCTATCTTCCTAGTCACCAGCTTATCAAAATTATTCTATGAAACTAGTAAAATCTCTTTTTGGATCCATGGTGAGACATCACTGAATAACTTTATAGCAACAGTCAGCAACACTGATTGGTAGAATGAACTACACAATTACTAACTATTCCATTCACATATTCCTTCACATAACACAAAGCTTCTATAACTGACATTGCCCATTAAAAACCAAACAGGTGAAAATATTGAAATTAACAATACTGTACATCAATCAAGGGGTAAATTCTTGGGTATACACCTGAACAGTAAACAAAAATTCAGCACACACATCCAGAACATCTCTCTCTCTCTAAAAAAAAAAAGGGCATTCTCTCAAAAATACATTACTATGTCCCTCAAACATCCTTGTTTATATTATACTACACTTTGGTCTATCCATGCCTCACCTACTGTGATGTTTACTCAGTAAACATCAGCTTTCAGATAATCACACATTCAGTCTCCAGGCAACATTTCTTATGCAAAAACATAAATTTGCTTAACATATAAACCACTGTCTACCATGCAAGCTATGTCTACAAGACTCTCAATTCAAACATTAACAGAACACATGGATGCAAAACAAAGAAGAGGTATCTCTCTGACATTTCACATGTATGTCTCAACCTGTTCAAAAACTCCTTGCAAATAAAAGGCCCAAAAATTTGGAACTCACTGCCTGACAAT